TCCAGATAATTGTAGTAGAATCGGGTCCACACAATGTCAGGAGTTTTCCTTTCACACATGTTGATACAAGTTTCAGTTCTGTTGTATGATATACAACAGGACTGAAACACATACTTAAAATGCTCTATTTGCATTCTCCCATTAAGCTCCTTCTGATAATGTCTAAATAGTTTCAAGATTGCAGTGCATGTGTGAAGGGGGCTGGCAAGAAGTACCCGTTTTATGCAAGAAATTCATTGTTTCCATTTTATTGCCATCTTGTTTTAATATTCTCTCCATAGTTCATTCAAAAAATATTTTCTTCACAGATGTCAAAACAGGATCACATGGCATTTCGAAGGGTTAACATGATGATGCTGGGATGGGACTGTGACTGTGAGTGTGTGTGATGTGGCGTGACCACAGCCGCAGAGGGTTTGCTGTGTAACCCTGAGGGTTTGCAGCTCTTAAACCTGGATAGAGTTTATGAGCTGTTGGTTCTGCATTGTTGGGCTGAAACAGAGTTTTCTGTACGGCACATGCTGTAATGTGTCGTTATGGGTGATTGATGTTTGATACGCTTCCCTTTACTCAGCCTCTCTTTAGGTTTAACAGCTCATTACAAAGTCCAGGACTCACTGACAGTGTCCTTCAACACAGCATTATAGTGACCTTTTTTATTTTTTCTGATTAGGCCTCAATACTGAATCTTTGCATGTCCAAGTAAAAAGCACCCTATAGCCCAAAACTGTAACTGTTATATGGAATACAGCATAGCCAAAGCTCCCCATGCTTCCTGTAATGTGTCCTACACGTGGAAAACTCCTGCAGATTATATCAGTCAAGCTGAGCTTAAAATCACCTGTTCCATTGCAAATGCAGTTTCAGCAAAAGTGCACATTCTGCAGTGGGTGTACGAAAGGATGTGTCTATCTGTTGAGCAAGGTGTGTGTGTATTGTTCACGTGTGTGTGCTTCATTTACCTCCCCAAAGAGTGTTGCACAAACAAAGCATTTTCTCTATATGTGCACTGAGTGCTGTGGTGTTGGTTTCATCAGTTTTCACTCCAGTAGCACTACTTTTGTTCTTGTGGCAGTTAGATTTTTTTTTTTTTAAATCATCCAATTTCAGTTCCAGTTAAAGATTGAATGAATGTGCTTTGTATCATTTAGCGTTGTGTTTACCACCCACAATGTCATATCCACATATTTAAAGAAACAGTGATGCAGATCAGCCCTTGCAGTATTTCACTCAGTAGAAGCATCAGCTTGGGGTTCATATGAGTTCCATCCATACATACAGATGTTGTGCCTTCAGTCATTTTTGTTAACAAAGTATTTTTCTAAAAAAAGGGAAGAGGCCGTAAATGGAAATCTTTGTTACTTTTAAGTGCTGCTGAACATGGCACTGCACTTTCGGCTATTTCAAACAGGCAGTCTGCATTTTGCCATAACAATGTGTCACACAGGGACTTTCAGTCAGAGGCTCCCCAAACACTCTGAGCCATTAAAGAAACAGCTCTGCAGTGTGTGATGACTGCTCATTGAGAGAGGAAACAGACACACACACACACGCACACGCACACGGACACGCACACGGACACGCACACGCACACGCACACACACACACAATGAAGCTATTAGTTAAATGTTCTTATGGTGGAATGCTGCAGTTTTCATGTAGAAACAGGAACATTCAACACATTCATCCATCATCAGTGTAGTAATTAACATTTTGCTTCAAACCAGACTTTTTTTTTTGTATTTCCTCATAAAAATGTCTTTTGAGTTTTTCAACTTCATGAGTTTTTGTAACTATTTTTTGTTTGACATTGAAAGAAGTCAGTTGTCTTTGTTTTTGATCATCGGAAACTAGCATCTTATCATTGGTCAATTATTCTCTGAAATATCCCAATACATAAAATAAACAGAAAATATTCTCCCTTAAAGTCATGTATGAGATTAAATCTGTTGTCACTGAGTTTGACTAATCTCCATGTTTCTTAATGGCCAACGCATCGCGCTCTTCCCAGGAAAAGGGAGTTCCTCCTTCACTAAAGCCAGAGTTATTCCTCAGTGACTCATAGACTTGATCACTTGGCATCCTCTTCACATCCTTCATACACCTTGAAGTTATTACTGTGTGAGCTTCAGGACTGTTTCACTCTACTCCTCTGCTCTTCTATCTCTCTCCCTGTTCCAGTGCAGGTGGCCCTCGGACTCAGCCAAGCCTGATTTCACTGAGCAGTCACACCCTCACACAAATTACTCTCAAGTTTCTCACAGCTCTCACACTGGGATGTTTTACATTTCCACTGCTCTGCTTTCATTATTCACAGTATTCTTAACATGCGACAATGCATTCGGCCACATTTCTTTAACAGGATTAGCTTTTTACTCACAGATGCATGAATCTGCATGTTTCACAGCAGCAATCGAGTGAAATGTCTTCTTTGTTTTAGATTGTCACTGCTTTTATTCTTTCATAAATCATCAGTCCAGTCACATTTCCACAACACGATCAGATGATTGTTGTGTCGTTGTGATGATGCGAGACGAGCACTGATTTTGCGAAGCTCTCGAGGTTCCCTGCTACTTGAGAACTTGAGAGTGTATCTTAGTTTCCATGGCGATGTGTCCAGCTGTTAGTCTCTGACCCAGAGGAGGAACATCTGCAGTGAAGTCACTTTCGGGCACAGACGGAGGGAAGTGACAGGCTGAGCTGTGGGAATGTTTGGCAGGTCTTTCCCTCTGACAATACAGAAAGTATAACGTCTATAGAGGAGAGGCAGCCAGGGAACCATCAATGTCTGATTCAGATATTCTCTGGATTCAGAAATGGGTCAAAGAGTTTTTGGAAAATATTTCTTACTGCTTGTTTTAGCTGAGATGTCACTGTATCCTCTTAATTAAATCAGTGCCTGGTGGTCTATTACATTCCTCTTAAGAGAGCAACACAAACTCAATGCTTTTGCTGAAACCTGCGGAACTTCCTTGGAGTTGTTTTTTTTACCTCCAGTATTTATGACTTATAGACAGTATGTCTTTTTAATCACAATCACTTCCCGATTTTTGCTTTACTTATTTGTAAATCAGGCTACTGTGAGACCACACTGAACCTGGCAAACATGAAGAAATCAGTTCCACATTTTTGCTAAAGACCGCTGCTTATATATGGTGCATTTGGGCACAGTTTGCTCGCACATCACCTGACTGTTAACAGGGTTGCAGATTGAGCCTAGTTTTATTTTATGTTTTGCCATTTTGAGGGTTGTATAGCCACATAATGGCCTCCTATATGTTAATAATAATTCAGTTCATACATCATTGATTTTAAACAACCGTTTGTGAAGTGAAAGTACTTTATTAGAGAAGCTGTAACAATATGTTGATTCCAACACAGGAGAGACTGGATTTTTATCTGCAATTAGCTGGAAGAAATATGCCAAAAACAAATATGAGTAATGTTTTCAAAGCATATCAGTACTGACCATTTTGTGAGTTCAGCTTCAGTGGTGTTTGCACAGCAGGGAAGTATAGGTTGCACTTCTTTGTTTTATTTAATTGCCACAGTCTGTAGGGCTTTCAATCCAATTAATGCACGGGGAAAAGTGTGTGCCTCTCTTCCGCTTGGAGCCTGACTGACCACACACACACACACACACACACACACACACACACACACACACACACACACACACAAAGCGCCCATTTAAGTCTTGCTGTTTCAACTCTCCCTTTTCCCCCTCTCTTTTTTTCTTTGTCACCCTTTCTCAAAAACACACACACACACACACACACATACACACACACACTCACACAGGCTGCACTGTTAGCCTAATTTACAGGAGCTGCCACTGCGCAGCACATGTGTATTAGTCTAACCTAATGCCTTCCAGATGCCCAGCCTCTGCACCCTGCTGCCCACTCGCTCTGAAAGAACACACAATTGTTCCTGGGGTCTTCCTGCTAAAGAGAACCAGGTGTATATGGAACTGTGTGTGTGTGCAAGAGTGCATGTGTGTGTGCTTTCCTGGTGTGTGCCAGACAAAAGGGCAAGAGGAGGAGAATTAGATGTAGGTGGGCATCCACAGTGCCTCCGTGTCTGTCTGGGAGAAGCTTGGAGCGCATGCTGTCTGGCAGGCTGTGTATGTATGCATGTGTGTGTAACCATGTGTGCATGCATGACAGACAGACAGGGAGAAGTTGTGTGTGCACTGAGCCGTGCTTACAGTATTGTTGAGATGACATGGATGGAAGCTTCAGACAGATGGAAGCCCCTTCTCACCCTCTTGGCAAACTTTATGGGGTGTATCTGACATGTTGTCATAAAGACTAAAGCAAGGATATCCTAGAACTCAAGAGGGTTTTAAGGAACGGCTGTTATTGTGAACAGAAACTGAGGCATACCGGAATGCCATTTTATAAAAGGTAAAGAATGTAAACATCAATGCCCAAGCTTTAGCATTGTGGAGGTCCCAATGTATGGAAAGAGATTCATTAGTAAAACTATACAAATGTCTTTGTTTTGAAGATATGTCAAATACACTAGAAGCTGGGGACTTCTAAACGAGAATGTTTGAGAATGAATAGCAGAGATAATAATAATATAATTGTTAAGGATCACAAAAAAAAAATATATATATATATATATATTCTATTAAATGTAATAACTTTTCCTTTAAGTCTAGTAGGAAATGAAAAGATGATTCACCTCCCACACTGTCTGCTGAGGAATGCTTTAATTTCTAGGATAACAGATCAGTCCTCTGACCCAGAGCTGGATTAACCCAGCGGGGGGGGGGGGCGCAGGGAGGAAGATTATCTGTAGGTCGACCATGGGCTCTCTATAGGAGAGTATACCTGTCGCCTTCGAGTATCCATTAAACACATCACACACTTCATTATGTATTGTCTAACCACAGACACCAACTAGAGCGGCCCAAAGATTTGCTTTGGATCAAATTAGGTTTTGGCAATTGTCTCTGTCCCCCTAATGATTGTAACGTCTGTTTCCTTCAGATCATCGTTTTCCGGGAACGTTAGACCTGACAGAGTTGATCGGCGTCCCCCTGCCTCCCTCTGTTTTCTTCGTCGCGGGCTTTGAGGGTTACCCCGCCTACAGCTTCGGCCCCGACGCCAACGTGGGCCGCCTCACCAAGTCCTTCATCCCCGACCCCTTCTACTACGACTTCGCCGTCAGGGTCATCGCTAAACCCACCACACGGCAAGGGGGGATGCTGTTCGCCATCACAGACGCCTCCCAAAAAGTACATCATTTGGATAAGTCTACTTTTCTCCTACATGTAAATAAAGAGCAACTCATTTTTCAACATCTCTTGATTTTTTTTATAGATTGTACACTTAGGTCTCGCGTTGTCGGAGGTGGAGGATGGCTCCCAGAGAGTCGTTCTGTACTACACGGACCCCGGAACAGGGGGGACGCAGGAAGCGGCTTCCTTCAAAATGGGAGACATGACGGAACGATGGGCGAGCTTTTCCCTCACCGTACAGGGGGCAGAGGTCAGTGTGTGGTCTACTTCATATGGGTAAAGATGCAATGTGGGGGCACTTTGTCTAAAGTAATAGTCTTAAGGCCAAAACAGGTACCAAAAGTGAGCGCTTTTGACTGATTCGCTGACTTTGTGCGTGTGCTCTTGTGACTCAGGTGCGTCTCTACATGGACTGTGAGGAGTATCATCGAGTGGCCTTCAGCAGGAGCCCCCAGCCTCTCACCTTTGAGCCCAGCTCGGGAATGTTCATCGGGAACGCTGGGGGGACGGGTCTGCAGAGGTTTGTGGTGAGTCCGGATTATCTGTTGTGTGTCTCTGAATCTGACACACATTTCCCTGCTCTCGATGTCAGTGAGTAGTGAATTGATGTCGGATCCATTGCTAGTTGCTGAAACTAAACGTGGCGTTTGGAAGGTCGCCTATTTTACAGTTGAGACATGAACACAATAGGCTTTCCTGGCAGCTTTTACGACCACCACAGGAACAGAGGAATGAATGGCAGCATATCCTGTGAGAGCTCATAAATGCAAGCTGGATGTGATTTGCATTTCTGGAACATCGCCGATCTCTCATCGGAGTCTCTCATCTTGAATAACTTACAAAGTGTCAGTGCATATGCCACATGCTTAATTAAAAATAATCAAACACTACCGAGGATGCAAAGGTGGGGGTCCCAATCCTATGCATTTCTTAAAGAATACCCCTGTGTGGTCATTATGGGCATGTGTGAAAGAGAATTTTTGAGGATGCAGATTGAGAAGAAGAGGTAGTAATGATGCGATACTGTGTTCTGCTCTCAGTGCTCTTGTAAAAAATAAATAAACCTGTAAATGCTGCAGCACTTTCCTTCCAATCACAGAGCTGTGTTTGTCCCAGTGTAACAGGAGGGATGATGAGGAGAAAATAGTTTAGTGATAAGGGAAAAGCTCTATGCTAAGGATACACAAGGAGAAATTATATTTATCTGAGCCATTAAAAAAGGTTTCAGAGTTTTCAATATTATCTAGATGTAAAAATCTGAAATGTTTCCAATACGTTTCCATACAACGTTTTGTTTTTTTTGCGTAGAAAGATAACTGACTTTTGATTGGCCAGGCCTCTTTCCTCTTCTTGGTCTTTTGTTTCCAGGACAGTGGAAAGAAGTTCTTATTGCTTTTTTCCACTCATTAACAATTCATTAGAGAAATCCGAGGAGAGTTTTAAAGAAATCCAATGAGCCAGGAAAGGAGAAATGATGTGTATTCTGATTTGATGGGGTCTCACAGGGGAGTCCATTATCCAATATTCTGTTCACATTCAGTCTTGACCTATAGAGGGAAAGTGACCACTAGACTTTATAGACTTGATATTGTGTCCTTGTGTGGTGACGGGAACACTGGACTGATAATAAGGACAGCAGGAAGTCATTGCTCCCTAGTGTTGTGATTCAATTCAGTATAGTTCTAATTAACTTGTTATTTCATCCCACGAGCCTTTGACATTTTGACAAGCCTTGTGGGAAGGAAATCATTTTCAGTTGCATCTTTACTAAAATACATCCAATATAAAACCTACTGTGCAACAGCAGGCAGGTTTTTTTTTTATTTGTAAAGAGCCAGGCTAGTCTTTTCCTTTCTTTATGCCCAGCTAAGATAAACCTCCCAGGTGCACGAATAAGGGAAAGCATGAAAAGGTTCTTTTATTATGCAGAAATACTTTATTGTCAGACCAGCACTAGCATCAAAGTCTAGCTTCACATTTAGCATAGAGATGTGATATTGATTTTTTATCGATTTTGAGAAGAAAGCATTACAGTTTTATCCACTTTCTGCCACATGGGAGAGCTTTCAAGGCTTTCTGCCAGAAATCTACTTAGGATCAGCCAACAAAACTACTTGGTTAGGTTAATAAAAAATCATGGTTTGAGTTCAAATAGACCCTTACAATTTGTATTTAATCCGAACATTTGGACCTACAGCAACGCCTTACGAGATAATGCTTTGATCAAGTTGACCTGCAGCTGTTTCTCTTCTATCTCCTCTCAATAAGCTCCATCTCTTTCACTACTCCCTCCTTCTCTATTCACATAGTCCTCCGCTCTCAGACAAAGAAGTCCGTAGTGACTCTCTGTTTCCAGCTGTTCAGTGTTTGACCTGGCAGCTTCCTTACAAATATTCCATCTCCTTGGAAAGCAACAACAGTAGCTCTCTGCAGAAACACACTCACACCTTTCCTTAGTTTCACTGAAACACATCCCATGCTGGGTGTTGGAAAGGGTTTGTGTGTTGCTGGAACCATCTTTACATGTTGTGTGAAATAGAAAAAGTGTGTGTGCATAATAAGTCTCCCTGAGCTACTGAGTGTACTGTACAACCTGAAACCTTGACAATGCACAGATAAATGAACTATAGATCTGACTGCATTCATGTTTGTCTGTCTCATGTAGACACTTATAGGAGCAGGTGTGTAAGCAGTGTTCTGTTTTATACAGTAGTCTTATGTGTGCAAGTTTTCCAGCATGCAACTTTAAATGCATCAATCACACAGCCTGGCACTGCCTTCAAGTGTTTGGATTTATTTCACGTAAAGTTGCCTTTCAGATCAGTACCAAAAACTGACGTTAAATTCACACCCACTTGCATGGCACCTGCTTTGTTTATGCAGATGTGTTGTTTACTGCACAAACAGATGGTTCTTAATTGAGTTGCTTTCTTTCTCTTCCTCTCTCTTTCTCACTACTTCACCACCATTACATTTCATCGGCCGTGCTTCACTCCATGAGAAACAGGTGTTTGTCCTCTGGCTCGAATTCAGTATCAATAAACTTGACTGAAATTGCCTTTAGCAAGTCTTTACTGATGTAATAAAGCGCCTGCTGACTCTCATATCTAAAGAACCATTTGCACACTAAGTAATGGAAATGCAAGCGTTCCTACTTTCCTTAATGTGGCCCCTTTTTTCATTGCCTTACATCAAATACACCCACGCATGCAGGTTAAAGGGATTACAACTCTTTGTAATAACTAGTCAGAATAGTGACACCCAGAATCGACCTGGCAGACTTTCCATGGTTCCGCTGGTACATTTTATAGAAATATAAATATATTTTAATGACCTATAGCTGTTACATTTTAAGCCTTTTGTTTGACTTCTTACACAAAAAAAAGCTGTTGTTAAAAGCCATGATCAAATGTGTCCACTACAATGATGTAAATGTGTTTTGATATCTGTTTAATGTCCAGATGTTGGTGTGTGTTACACGATGATAATGTGTGGGATAACGAGGAAGAGGGATTGATCAACTGAAACGCCGACAGACAGAGGCATGCTGCTGCTGTGTGTGAAATGTTATTAAGATTTAATGAAATGTAATGACATTTACTGCAGGGCTCCATCCAGCAGCTGGTGCTGACGTCAGATCTCAAGGTCCCAGATGACCAGTGTGAGGAGGACGATCCCTATGTGAGTGGGCATCAACACACACACACACACATACACACACAGACACACACACACTCACACACAGACAGACTTTCTCAACATGTCGCTATTCCTCCCTCTACTGGTGAACTATATGAACAACAGTTTGTATGCGGTAACGTCCATATACTTTTGTGTAGTAAGGTAACTTGTATGCTATGGAGTTACATTTTGAAAATACTTTGCTTTCAATCATTTTGAGCAGAACCTTTCCTGTTACAACATCAAATTTCCATGAAATAAATAAATCGATAAATTAATAAAACATGCATTTAATTGCACCTTTCAATCAGGTTAATGCTGTTCCAAATGCTTCTCAGATGAAGGATGAGCTGAATTTAAGACCCAAAAAGTGTAGACTGTGAAAAGAATGTTTGTATCTGTATTGCTTTTTTCTTTTTCTATGTGTTATAGATTGTTATGAGAAAAATCAACAATTTTTTTAAAGTAAAAGTTGGGCTGTCTACAGTCTAATTAAAGTCATGACAGAAACTGGGAAACAAAGGATGTTTTTTTTGTAATTTTCTCCGTAGGCCTCTGAGTATGGGAGCGGTGACGATGCTTATGACGACTTGAAGGGAAGAGACGAAGTGAAGAAGATTGTGAACACCATGGTGTGTGTCCATACTCACCTTTTCTTTTATGAGCTTCTTTACTATTGAATCTTACGAGTAGACATTGCATCCTGGTACATCTTGTAACTTCCTGCATGTGTGTCACTCCACATAAAAACATGCAGAGCCCTACTTGAACTCTTCTTTTCTCTTCCCAGCCCCTCCCAGAGCTGGACCCCTCGTACAGCGCCCCTGTCCAAGCCCCCCCCACAGAGATGTCCCGGGGCTTCGTAGATGATGATGATGAAGACATAGAGGAGACTTCTGGACAGGAAGTGGAGAAGACCACACTAATGGGTATAACAATTACCTTTGTATTTGATGTCGTTTACAACAACGTATCATTTTTAATCAAAATAACTTTTTGGGTATTAAGCCAAACACTTAATCTGTCACATATTCTGCACAGATGTACTGATATAGAAGTGTAGTGTATATACTGGTGTGAGACTAGATATTGTCTCAGATCTTGGAGAATGTAACATGGCATGAGTGTTGTCTTTTCCTGGTTTTTAAATGCTGCATTACAATGTCATGTCATTAATCTAAACTTGTTCATCAATCATTATATCTGCTTTACTGATTATTATACAATAACAAGGGTTTTGATCAAGCATAATCCTATATTTAAATATCTCCATATCACCCAGCCCAACATGGAAGTAATGCTGAAATTCTCTGGTGGTGTAATTCCCAAATTATCCAGACGATGGTGCTAAAGACACATAGAAAACGTTCTCTGTTGTCTCTTCTCTTTCCTTTGACCTGCACTACAGTAAATATACTCCAATATCCATACTACCATACCATTAGGTATGCCCGAAAGCGGATTTTATTTGTGTATGTCCTCACTTTTTGTCTTTTTTTTACAGTGAAGTCATCTCGAACAATTACTCCAGCCTCCATACGTGACACTGTAAGTTCATTTTCTTAGAGTTAATTGGATGATTATGATGTAAAGCACATTACATTTTGAAGATTTGATGCAATACATGTATCTGTGTGGTTGTGAATTCAAAAATGTGAACTATATGATGACTTGCTATATTCCAGTGAGCTAATCAATCATTTAATGACTCTGTTTATTCATCATCCAGTCCCTGCAGGTGTCTTCAGGACAGAAAGGAGAGCAAGGTGAGCCAGGTCCATCTGGGCCCCCTGGCCCTCCAGGAACAGCCTCTGAAGGGGAACCGGGACCCCGGGGGCCACAGGGACCAGCGGGGTCCTCAGGCAAACCAGGGGCTTCTGGGAAAGATGGACAGGCTGTGAGTTAATCTGTTTGTTTGGTTGCTTTATTTCCAATATTACATTTATTTGTTGCTGTTTATTACATGTATAGAGGTGTAGAGTGTATAAGGCTATGTTTTTTTGTTTTTTTTATTGTTCCTATTAACTCTTGAGCTGCTGCTCTTATCTTTTCTTTCTATTTACAGAACATTCAAGAGCATTATTTAGAAAATTCTGTTTAGATAAATGATTGATTGGTGTTATACTTTTGTCTTTTCTCCAGGGAAGAAAAGGTGAAACTGGTGCCCAAGTAAGTACAATCTTTATTAGTTGATTTATTGGTTCAATATTTAGGTATCTCTTGGGAACAGTGGTGCAGAAATGCACCAATTTTCTTCTGAAGATTAAGCTAATACTAACATTTATAGACTAAGGGGACAATACATTAGGTTCACAGATTAAGTTATCTCCTTTGCCCCATTATGATATCACTGTCTGTCATTCCTGCATTCACTTCTTACAACTGGATATATAACTGACCTCTCATGGGGTGATATCTCATGCAGCATTGAGCACAGCTACCTGTCTTTTTTCCCAGGGAGCCACTGGGATTCCAGGATTCCCAGGACTCCAGGGCGACTCTGGTCTTATTGGAGAGAAGGTAAAATAATGCTCCTGTTTTGAATGGATAGTTTGGTTTATTGAAGTAGGGCTGTATGAGGTACTTATCCATAGTGTGCCAGCAAGAATGCCAGCAAGAAGCCATTACTGTTTCTGCCCATTAAGTCTAATGCAGCAGCAAAAAAGGATTTTACCCATGTACAATTCTATACCAGTATGCACTTTATTTAGAATATTTTCAGTGCTCTACCTTGTTGTCTGACAGCTGTTGAAAAAAAAGGTGTTTTGTATCTTGCAGAAAGCCATTGTTTTGTCACTAGTGAATCACTAAATGTAGGATATAAAAATCCCTCTGCTGTCTCCTTCAGGGTGATCCTGGTCTGGGACGCCCAGGTCCTCCGGGCCCACCTGGACCTCCAGGTCCAACCAGCAAGTCTTCCATGTTCCTGGTAGGTTATTAAAAAAACTCATTTTACCTTCTGTTAACCCTTAAACATCTGGTGAACTGCAGTTGTTAATGGCAGTTGATTCTGAAATGAATATCAAGGAGGCTAATTGTATAGAAGTCTATGAGAAAATGATTGTACAACTTATTTAAAGAAGCCCAGGAAACCTCCTCCTAATGAGTGATGATGTTGTGTGATCAGCAGGAGGGGTCAGGAGGGTTAAAAGACTTTGACAGTGATGCAGAGATTATGAGGGTAAGTTAACTTTGTTTTTTCTCTCTTTGTTTGGTGCGTCTAATAAAAAACCATGACCTGTGGACATACCAGATATCAATATGTTTGGCCTAATGAATAGGGTTTATTTTTATTTTTTAAATTAATTTTAACAGCGTGTGTATATGGGGAAACCTTATAAATATGGCTAGGTGCATTATAAAATAATTTGGTTAAGACTGATGTGATGTGCTGCGAATAGCTTTTTATGTTTATGTATAATTGATTCTGTGCATTTTGGCCGATTTAGTTAATCCTCTATTGATCTGTTGAATGTTTGAGTAATTTCATTTTCAGTCTGTTTTCTTTGGTGTGCTACTGCTCTATTCAGAGAAAACGTTGTCACCTTGTTGTACTTTAACACTAACATTTCCCCTTTGCGTGACCATCAGGGGCCTCCAGGGCCACCAGGCGTCCCGGGGCAGCCGGGGCCTCCAGGAGCCCAGTCTGAGAACATGTTTCCTGGATCACCCGGGGCCCCTGGGAAAGATGGGAAGGATGGACAGAGGGGGGAACCTGGAGTTCCTGTAAGTTTAACTTCTTCCTTTTTCATATTTTGCATGTAGAGTTTACAAATACATAATCCTAATATAATGTTTACCGTACGTATCATACAGTACATGATACATATGTATATCATCTGTTAATTGTGCAAGCAATGTAAAGGTTCTTTAGAACACACATTTCAAGGGAGCGTGTGCATTTCTGACCGGACGTGTGTTTTCAGGTAATTGAGGAGTGGTTTAGTGGCACTGGTTCTGGTTCTGGTTCTGGGTCTGGTTCTGATTCAGGGTCTGGGTCTGGGTCGGGGTCTGGTCCAGATTCAGGGCCTGGGTCTGGGTCTGGTCAGGTATTAACATTTAGTCCCTTTTAGATCTAAGGGACTGAAAGACAGTATTTCCCCCAACGTTTTATAAAAGACCCATGTTCATTTCCTGCTTTTATGCCATTGCTTGCTGCACAGTATTGAATACTGTGTGTGTGTGTGTGTGTGTGTGTGTGTGTGTGTGTGTGTGTGTGTGTGTGTGTGTGTGTGTGTGTGTGTGTGTGTGTGTGTGTGTGTGTGTGTGTGTGTGTGTGTGTGTGTGTGTGTGGTGTGTGTGTGTGTGTGTGTGTGTGTGTGTGTGTGTGTGTGTGTGTGTGTGTGTGTGTGTGTGTGTGTGTGTGTGTGTGTGTGTGTGTGTGTGTGTGTGTGTGTGTGTGTGTGTGTGTGTGTGTGTGTGTGTGTGTGTGTGTGTGTGTGTGTGTTAAAGGTGAGTGAGACCATTTTGAAGTGTGTGCATTCCTTTATCGACCTACGAATGTGTTTTTATCGTTACATATTTATGCATCCATGTACCAACAATTATTTATCCTCCAGCTACAGCAGCAACACTTTGGCAGAAACTAGTGCTTCACAACATGGTCAACGCTGCAGCATCTGTTGGGGGAAATGTGTCTTTTGTATTTAAAATATGAGATGCTTTTACTAACTGTGTGACTGGACTACTCACAGGTCTACTGCAGAACTGTTTAGTGCATAATGTGTATTCACTTTGAACCCATTAGCTTTGTTAAATATGTTCTCATTCAAAATAGCATCAATCTTTGGAAAAATGAGAATCATACCATTTTAAAACATATATGAAAAAAACATATGCATGTGAATCTGGAATGATAACGCTCTTGCTTCTGCAGGGAGTTGATGGAAAAGATGGTGATCCAGGATCTGCTGGGGAGAAAGGAGGCAAGGTGAGGCTAATGAATATTTGATGGCAACAAAAAATAGACCATCATAATGTATTCTTACTACGTCTTAGGTTATTTCCTCCTATTTGAGTGTTATAATTAAAGTTACTGATTATATTGTTGTTGTTTTTTGTATCTGTTTAACAGGGAGAGCCTGGTGTAAACGGGCAACCAGGAACAAAGGTAAAATGTCTTCCTTAATATTTACAACTTTGGATAAAATGAGATACTTATTACTATTAATTAAGTACATTACATTTACCTGTAAATGATGTCTCTTCTTTTTCCCAAACCAAATGTTTTCTCTGAAGTCCCCCTCTCCTTTTCCCCCCACCCCTGTTTTTTCCTGCTCCTAATATCCAACATTCAAATCTTTATCTACTTTTTTGATTGAACTTACAATAGGATTATTTGAAATGGGGTCTTTCTCCTCTTGCAGGGGGATCAGGGTCCTGCAGGGTTTCCAGGCCAGCCAGGCTCAGAGGGTCCAGAGGGGCATCCTGGACCCCGGGGGGCACCGGGCCCTCCTGGCCCCCCACAGAGAGGCTATTCTACGGACTTTGAGGTAAGGACTCTTATCACGTCTTCAAGATCAAGATTTTAAGATTTTATTGTCATATGCACATGATATATAGCAAATGTGTTCGCAAATACAATCTGAAGTCTCATTCTCCTCCAACAGTCCAACATACAGTATATTTAAAATACATTTGAAAATTAACAATACAAATGTAAAGTTGGAACTTGTTTTGTTTTGTGCATTTTATTAGGACTTGGAAGGCTCTGGGATGCAAAGTGGATTTGGATCAGCACTTTCCAGAGGCCCAGAGGTAAAACCGTGTGACAACGTGAAGAGAATTCAGCGCCATCATATTTCATGATTTTGCATAATATCCCTCATCATACAGTGTGTTTTAGATTAATTGTATTTGTTACACAGGGTCCTGCAGGTGTTCCTGGAATTCAAGGACCCATGGTGAGATAACTTTGTTAAAGCTTGTGCTTTTATTATGCTCACACTTAGTTTTGGTGTTTATATCTTTGGTGACTTTAGAAGGGTTCATTTTAAAACTTTTTTTTAATTTAAAACACTTACTTGCGGCTCAGGAATCTCCAACTTTAGATTAGAATTAAACTGTATTCGGAGATTTTCATTTCAATCAGTTGTGCTGTTGTGGTTATACGGAAGTCATCATTTTGATTTGTATTTCTATAACAGATTTATTTTGCTATTCATAGGGTAAAGATGGTTTGGATGGGGCCGCAGGAAAGCCAGGGGAAAGGGTAAGTCTTCTGTCAATTTGTGTTGCGCTTTTATGTGTGTACCACTTGGTGACTTCCTATTTTCACCGCAACCTGTGTAATGAGAACTTGACTTTTAACATAATCATTTTCTAACAGAAAGCCATGTGTGAAGTACTGTTGACTTTAAACTAGTCATTTTGACGGCACTTGTATTTGAGAACATGGAGCCTAGAGAATGCTTTATGTTTCCTGGTGGTGTCTGCAGGGGGAGAAAGGTGCCACAGGGTCCCCAGGGTTTCCAGGACTGGATGGATTTAAAGGGGGAGAGGTCAGTAACTGGGTGAACTAATATACAGATGCATGTAGTATTTAATTCAACTTGTGCAAATGGTTTTGACCAATTTCGATGCATTTTAATGGATCACTTCTGATTCTAAAATATAGCTGCAAGTTTATTAAAAGCTCTTGTTGTCATTTCTAAAATAATCCAGAAAGTAATTTACAGCATATGCATTTCAACAACACGTGTAAGGTGTGAAATATACTCCTAATACTGAAAGATGAATTTGTGTCCTCTTCAGGGCCTGAAGGGGGACAAAGGAGTTCCAGGACAGAAGGTAAAACTCGATTGGATATGTGACGAGGCGCAAATCACACATGAACACACCTTTCTAAAAATGTAAAGGCTAAATGTTTATAACATAATTTTTTCAGGGTGAAGCGGGACGAGACGGGCTCAGTATTCCAGGCCCTCCAGGACCCCCTGGACCCCCAGGACCCCTCATCAACCTGCAGGATGTGAGTAGCCCCTGAAACGCCCCCTGTTGATTATTTAATTTTTTGTACAGACTTCCCCACTTCATTACCGACATTAAGACCATTATTTTTTCTATTTTTAAATCAAATAGCCTGACTGCCTGTAGTGAGTTACTTTGATTACATTGACAACGTGCTCTTCCTGCCCCTAACACAGCTTCAATTAAACGATACGGATGGCACCTTCAACTTCTCAGGGATTGCTGTGAGTATCAGAAAATAAATGATTGTGTTGTATTTGCAGATATATGAAAACATGTATAGAAAGTGTGTTCAACTTTATAACTGTATTGAGAGTCCAGCAGTTGGATGAGTTATTGTATTTCCTTGTTGTTTGCAGGGTCCTCAGGGTCCAAAGGGGGACGGAGGGTTGCCAGGAGTTCAGGGACCTTCAGGAATTAAAGTAAGTGGCACATGCACGCCTAGCTCTGCTAATATACAATATCTAAACAGATATTTATACTCTCACAACAGTCAAGTCAATGTCTTTCATATTTCATTGTTTGTTTTAGCATTGTTGTCATTTACTAATTTTCATTTGTTTGTTTATTTGTGTGTGTGTGCAGGGTGAAAGAGGGGAGCCAGGGTTGTTCCTCGCAGCCGACGGATCGATGTCGTCGAGCCTGGCTGCTGCACCAGGAGTCAAGGTTATATTTCGTTTTTTACTTTAGATATTCTAATAATTGTTGTTTTCATTTGTGTTTGAGCTTACTATTGGTATTTATCTATGTAAGCATTCATTTTTCATTGGATCTTGTGTTTTTTCACATCTGAAATGATGTTTGTTGGTTGCTCGTAATGGAATTATTTTTGTAAAGTCCCTTTAAAATGTGTATTTGTTTGCAGGGTGATCATGGTTTACCTGGACCTGTTGGAATTCAAGTAAGTATTAGCAGCAAAAATGTCACCTTTTAATGTTCCATGAGCGTTCCTTTTATTTCCACTGCTATAGATAAAGGTTCTTTGAATGCACTAAAAGTACTGTCAGTCACCTTGTTGTGTTCCCAACAGGGCCCGAACGGACCTTCAGGACCAAAGGGAGAGTTTGGTTTTCCTGGAAGACCTGTAAGCACCATGAACTCACCAAAGATATTGAATTTGGTTCAAATCTGCACTGACACTTTCTGATATTACCGGTTGGTTCTTTGATCAGGAAATCCAGATTAAAAAAACACATGTGTTGTAGGGTCGTCCAGGCACGATGGGGCTTAAAGGAGAGAGGGGGGACGTTGCAGGCCTGCCGGTGAGTAGAATCAAACTAAAATACTGGATCAGAATATGGAAAGGAAACCTGTAGTGATGGGATGTGTACTTAATATAACTTTGTCGCTTTAAATTAAAAAAAAATTGTCTTCTTTAATTTTTTGTTTAGGGACTTCCGGGCCCTGCAGGGCTGCCGGGCCTCCCAGGAATATTCAACTGCCCCAAAGGAGTAAGCGCGCACACACACACATGCAAGGCAACACACACACACACATTCCTTAACAAATTGTAGAGCTTTGATTCTCCACCCAAACCTGATGGCGCTGAATTATTGTGTTCTCCCCCGGGCCTGAATCTGGTGTGGCTTGCCCGGATGATCAGGTTGTGATTTTTTTGGAGGCTTTTCTTGTCTGTAATATCATGAATTACGTATAGGCAAGTAATAATACCAGATGAACACATTTTAATAATTCAATAATGATTAGCAGCCGGTTTACCAAAAAGTAAACGCATGAATACGAGATGACTTTGATAACATTTGAAGAATGGCACATTGTTTAAGAAGATTGAAATCATGGAAATGACATATTACAGTATATACAATTCACACAATCTATCATAAAAACACTTCAGTTAATAAAATACGAGCTAACTGGATGATCACTCGGTACAGGAAAGCTTATGTCAGAGATAGTGTCACATTGTCTGTTATCACACTGCAGAGACTTTTGTAGACTTAAGGTTGTAAAACTTCTTTGAATATATATATTTAAATAAAGAATTGAGAGCTAGACGGAAGGATATTCAGGATTTCAGTCGGACTATAGCTCAAAACATGTTGTTCCTCTCTGCAGGTAGGTGTGAGGTTGCGCCATATTGTTCATCCAAAGTGAAGCTCTTACACACAGTTCTGACTTATATCGTACATAATATTTACTCACCGTCCTCTCCCTCTCCTCTGGTTTCTGAAGACCGTGTTCCCCCTCCCCCCAAGACCCCACTGCAAACAGACTGTAAGTTTCTGTCACTGTAACCAAACGACATGCAAAGCACGTCTTCATAAATGGGTTTCTTTGCAGCATGCGCTCAGGAACTTCCCGCTTTCTCTATATCCCAAATCATGCATTCATGGTGGACTAAGGGTTTCAAAAACATTCATTGTAGTCGATTAAAGAAGCTACTATGCATGTTTAATTTCCTTTTTGATTGAAATCTAATCTGCATTCTTAGTCTCATAACTTAAGTATCACATTAACAGCCTGCTGAGCCCATTCACACATATATCCTAATAACTTCCTTTCCTTTTGTCTACACATAAAGTGCATGTTTCTCTGTGTAACTGGTACTGGTACCCCCCCCCCCCCCTCCCCTCACCTTTTATCACTCAGAGCGGTGACATGATGGCTCTGAATCTTTCCTGCACGCTGCATGTCCACTATGGGAAAGTGATGGCTCATTGCCAATACATACAGGAGGTAGTATTTGAATCACATCTGAAGAAAATGAGCATTGGTCATTTGCATGTTGATTATAATATTAACAATATAAAATAAGTGATTTTATTATTTGATAATGCAATGGAGAACTGTTTTGCAAAGTTATGTTGTACAGATAACCTGAGAGGCAAGTGAGAAAACAAAATCTGGTGATGAGTTTCTTTTTTTATAAACCAGGATAATTTTCTGGATTCACTACTATTATTGTTTTATCTGCGAAAATGTAAGAAAACAGTTTTGCCAGGTGCAAAAAAAGTAATATGGCCGTTGTTATTTCTTCTTGAAATATCAATTTTAGAGGCTCACATGCACTACTACCGTACTACCGTTTGCTTTCTTGCAGGTATACTGTATGTGCATTGTGTAAGAAAGCATGGAGAAATGTAAACCTAAAAAAAAGGTTTCCTTCACATTTGCCTCTCTCGAATTATTCTGGTAATTATCTAAGATTTCTGAATTCATTGACTTTTGTTAATGTGTTTCTGCTCAAATATTTCAGCTTAATCCCGATGGAACTGTTGCAGTAGGTAGGTGGTGTCATCTCTTATGTTTCCCATAAATAATAAAGTCTATGATTTATATCAAGATTACCGAAATACTCATTTCAGTCTCAGGACACGTACCTGCAATATAAATATATATATATATATATCGTTTTTTTTTTTACTTCAATTAACCTCTGAATCAACAAAGTTTAAAATGAATACTTTAAGTTGTGCTCTTGTTGTCTCACAGGTAACTGTCAGACGGGATACAAAGGGGATAGGGGAGAGAGCGGTCTTCCTGGGCTGCCGGCACCACAAAGTAAGTGAACATCGAACAGCTGCAAATGGAAATGCCTTTAGATAACACCAACCAGAAAGAAAAATCGAATGGAGTACAGAAATACAAATCTATGATGTGTGTTTTAATGATTGAATTTCAAGGCCTGACTTTTTATTTTACGTACGTATTTTACTTCCCCAATGTTTCCAACTTCCTGTAAAACTGATTTAGCATTATATTAATTATTACTATGTTGTTATTATTAGCTTTAACTTCCTGCTCTTTGTTTCCAGGCTCATTTCCTTCAAGGGGAGGCTGGGTAAGTCTCATATGGATGTGTTTATTGATTTGATTTAGATTGGAGACGAGCTTGCCTCATGTGCCATCAGATGTATCAGCTCATGTGTTTCACCTGTGCGTGTTATGACAGGGCTCAAGTGGTGACCAGGGCCTTAAGGGAGAGAAGGGAGACGGGGGGGAGGGAGGGTTCTCCGGAACACCAGGCACCCCCGGGAGAACCGGACCTGTGGTGAGTTTTATTAAATTAATTGAATTGCCAATATTTTCTTAATTGAGTTTTCCAAGACTCACTTTCCCTGACGCATTTCAGGGCCCCAAAGGAGAGTCTGTGATCGGACCCCGGGGCCCCCCCGGGTTGCCGGGTTTACCGGGGTACCCCGGCTATGGCAGACCAGGACCGATGGGCCCTGCTGGACCCCCAGGGCCTCCGGGACCCTCTGGGACCCCCTTAAGTTACGACTCAGGTACAATTCATTCACGTAAGAGCCACGTAAGAACATATTTGTATTTGAGTAAAAAATGAATGCATGAATTTAAGATGGTCTTGAATGTCACTCAAATGTATTGACATAATATAGGTTGACTAAGCGTATGATTCTGTTTTTGTGTATTGTATTAGTTTTTGATGGTATAACTATGTTTTAGTTATTAAATGTATTAATGTGTTATAGCATTTGCTATTGAATCATCAAGACTAAAGAGCAACTGGGCGAGATGTAATCCGGGGGGGAAACCATCTGCCATGAAACTGTCTTTTACTGTTAATACACTTGTTCCAGTTGTACCTGCTTGTTATATCGTACAGAAATCATCCAGGTTAACATATCATTCTAGTAGCTGATGAGATTTAAACAGTTATAATGTGCTGGGGTAAAACGTTGATATTTTTGTTACGGTAGCTTTGACTGTTGCTGGCCCCCCCGGACCTCCTGGACCTCCTGGACCTTCGGGTAGCTCTTCATCTGTAAGTGAACTTGTTTCTTCTAATGGAGCAGAAAATATAATATATGCAAAAAATAGATCTGATCAACAAGCCCTGGAGGACAACCATTTCATTATGTTGAAACAACAATGCATGCTCTTAACATGTGAGTGATTTCACAATGTCATTAGAATAACAAGTTTCCAGAGATGGTTTGAGTTTTTCTCCTCTTTTTTTCTTCAGATGAAGACATTTACGTCCTTTGAGAGCATGATGCAGCACACGGTCAGAGACGCAGAGGGAACCATGGCCTACGTCACGTCAACAGGAAGTCTCTTCATCAAAGTCTCTCAGGGCTGGAAAGAGATCCAGGTATTTAGAAATCTGACAAGATAAGCAATTATATCAATACCAAAGCGAATTTAGAAGCACAACATATGCACATTACTGTCAGAAAAAGAGAGCAGGGCTTTTTAACCCTGTGTACTGAAAACTTTTTGAAAGGTACAGTCTCACTATTTGGGAAAATCTTCTATCATTAAAGAAGGAAGGGCTTGACAAAATTCTCTTTATTGATACAAATCAAGAGTATTTCATGAAACTATTAGTTACTACTATTAGTTGTACTTCCAGCACATTTAATATTAAGACGGCATGAGCTCAAATTACACAAATTACATGTAATGCTTGATGTTTCTGTGTTTTATCTCTACAGCTTGGCAGTCTGATCCACCTCTCCAATAACATTATCCCTCAAGACGAGGTACTTGGTGATTTTTATGGCTTTCTGCTCAGTCAAAAATATATATATTTGGATGCAGTATTTATTCAATTAACATGTATTTTTCATATTCATTTAGCCTCGCATTGCATATCAGATAAGAGGAGAGGCGATGGAAAGAATACGTTCCGTTAATGAAAGGGTGAGTGCCATGAGTGGTGGACTTCAAATGAACTGCTTGCTTTTTACTCCGCTAATAAGTCACTGTTTCGATGGTATCAATAAGCATCTTCTCCCCCTGCAGCTGACCCTGGTGGCTCTGAACCAGCCTCACTCGGGTCACATGACGGGGCTAAACACGGCCGACCGCCTGTGCTACGAGCAAGCCAAGGCCATGGGTCTGGCTCCAAACTACCGCGCCTTCATTTCCTCCAACAGGCAGGACCTGGTTCTCGTGGTCGATCGCGGGTTCAGGGAGAATCTGCCCGTCACCAACCTCAGGGTGAGTCGCCCACCATGCTCTGTTTCTTTTTACTCTTTCAGATTGTTAGATTAGATGTAAATGATTGATCCCAAACTGGGACATGTTGTTGTTGCAGCAGCTTGTTAACAAGGCATTGCACATAGTCAAAATGGTGTGGGTTGGAATTAGAAAATGTGTAAGATGTATATCAAATGTCTGAGAATGACTTAGTAAGAAGCAACTTTTAATGGCACTTTTTAGATAGGGATATTATGGCCTCTCCACACTTTGTACAGAATTAAACAACAGAAATGGGACTTATTTGCATTAAAGTTGCATCATGCAGTATCCCTCCACAGACAAGTGGCTGCATCTAACTCACTCTGCGTCTTCTTTTCAGGGAGATGTGATGTTTAGGAACTGGCAAGAAATCTTCACAGGCGACGGGGGGCCGCTGGATGCCAGAATACCCCTCTACTCCTTCGACGGTCGGGACGTTATAGCTGATCCTTTCTGGTAAGCTAACGGTTTTCTGTTCATTCAGTCAATCATTTAAGCTATAGCACTTTTCATACACAAAAGCTGGGTGCAACAAGTATGAATATTAGTATTAATTAGATATTAATGCTGAATTGCACATTAACCAATCAGTTCATAGGTAGTACGTTCTCAATATATTCTGATATTCTGTCGCCCCTCCTCCAGGCCTCAGAAGAGCATGTGGCACGGCTCCAGCAGCAGGGGTCTCCGGGTGGTGGACAAACACTGCGAGACGTGGCGGGCAGACCACATGTCCGTCATGGGGCAGTCCTCCAGCCTGACCTCAGGTCTGCTCCTGGGCCAGCAGACCAGGAGCTGCTCCAACCAATACATCGTTCTGTGCATCGAGACTCACAAAACCCTTTAAACAAACTCCTTTTGTGGAAAGATCCAAATTTGTGTCTGTTTAAAAAAACATCCCCACATGTTATCTCCTTATTTTCAACCCGGTGGCACATAATGTAAAACAGCAGCAGTAGCTGTACTTATTCATGACGAAAAGGAAAATTGCTAACATCCCGAGAAGCACGGTAAAGCTTTATTTATGTTGAAATGATTCCCACGGCACCTTTAACTTCAACGTCACTTTACGACTTGTGAATCAAACATAAAGTAACATAAGCAGAATTCCCCCCCCCCCCCCCATAGTCACTGAGGTGTGTCGAGGAGAATATTGTTAGTCTCTTTGTTCAGCAAGAGACTGAAGACGTGCAGCGGCCGCAGGATTCTGCACCTGTCCGGGAAAAAACGTTTGAACAAATGATCCATTTCCAAAGACTTTTGTGATGGAAGCATAAATGGCTTCTTTGACTGGTTCCATCACTTAGAGCACACAGCAGTGTTGCCACCAAAGTCCTGTTTTGATGCACTGTACTTTATTTTATCTAGTTTAACATGTTCATCTTTGAACGTTTTGTTTGTGTCGTAGCTTTTCATCCATCTCACACCTTAGCAGCTTTTCCTCTCAATAGGCTATTTAATTTAAAATCAATGATTTATTTATGCTGTCACAAAACATGAAATCAGATGAGTCCATTTAAGAATGTAATTTATCGTTTGTTGTTTGTCAAATGACTGTATCTTCTAACTCTTTGCCTTTTTTTCTATTTTTTGTACATTTTTTTATGTTTTTAGTTTTCTGCACAATGTCAAACAAATGCCATCTAGTGTCGGGATACAATTGAAACGAGTTTAATAATTTCATACTAAAAAAAAGAAGACTAACAAAATGTTTTTTAAGGGAGAAAATCACATGTGTTTGTATAAATATTGGTTCTTTGTTAAATAAAGTTTTCTTTTCATAATCTGGTCTTCTTTTATTCTCAATTCAGTCAAAATTGAAAAGTACAAATCTGCAAGGTGTGTCTGAAATGTTGTGGAAATAAGTATTCATTTTCCGAGCCCTATAAAGTAAAACTCTGTAGTTTTCTTAATATAGAAAATGAACTCACAAAAGTCAAGAAGATGCATATTGGGTTAAGGTCCGACAGACACTGGAAAGATTGTGTGTCCACTAAACTATGCCCATTGAAGAACAAAAGCTTTTTAGAAGGTAAGACTTCCTGTAAACAACCAAACTATTCCTACAAGCTGGTGAATTTCAGCTGGTGACAAAAGGAGCTAAACCCTGGAAAGAATCTAAGATGGGGACTAGTTTAACGGGTTGTACCAGCTGTCAAGAAAAACCAGGAAATGCACGTTAAACGGCATATTCTGCGTGAGAGAAACAAGTAGGAATACGAAGAGGGAGAGTTTGGCCATTTCACATGAAGGGATCCCAGGTACTGTAAAGGTTTTATCTCTTTCATTCTGTGTTTTTACCAAAAGACTGGACCCAGTTTAGCCGCATTACATTTTATGAGAAGTTTAGTATGTCTTCCATGTTGCAGGTGTTCATTTAAAACAAAGGACTTTGCCAAAAATGTGCCAATAGCCCAGGATTTGTATATCAATAAGCAATTGGACAAAGATCAGAGACTGAGGCCAAAAAACGTTGTTCTTTTAGTTTTCTGTTTGTTCCAATGAATAAAGTCTCAGTAGCTGCCTGTGAGCTTAGTTTTGCACCAAAGGTTAAAGGTTGTCTAAACAAAATTGTGATGCTCTTCAAACATGTTTTTCTTCCAAAGGTCACGCATGGAATGAAAAACCTCCACAAGTAGGTTTGTACTCTGTAGATACAGCAGCAGTGGAAGGTGATTTCTTCAGGTTGACATGAAGGCATTCCAGGTACTGTAACCGTTATTGTTTTCCTTTGTTTGGTTTATAACCAAATAGTTGACCTAGTTTAACCACGTCATGTTATTTTGCTGTGAAGATGCTGTTTGTGCTCCTCCTGGCTGCTGCAGCCGAGGGCCAGTCGCTGCACTTCGGAAAGTGCCCCCGTCCTCCGGTTCAACAGGACTTCAACGTTGCCAAGGTAAAGTCAAATAAAATGATGTAAATGTCTGCTTTTATTGACGTGTTTAAACTGGTCCATTTGTGCAGAGTCCACATTCTTCCTTTTTTGACATGTAGAGTATTTACAGTATTATTATTATTATTATATCATAGGTAGTTTTAGTGTCCTATTGAGTCAATAATGGGATTCACTACAGCTGCCTATGTACATTTTTAAATGTTTGATATTACCATGAAACTTGCCCAGTTGTATACTTAGAAAGTGGTTTTTGTATTACAAGTATGCCGAAATGTGATGTTTTAAGATGCGTATAATATGCATGCCTTTTTTTTAAAATATGTGCTCATTTGCATTTATTTCTGGGTTAGAAATGTGAACATTGGATAAAGCTCAGTTCAAGATTCTTGTTTCATTTAGTTGATATATAAGAGAATGTGAAATGTTATCTGTAAATGTGCAAAGGAGGGATTATTTAATATAATATCAGGCATTAGGACTTACTTCACCATCAGCAGCCAAACCCTTTTAAACTGTTCAATCCTGCATTGATACAATACATAATATATAATACTAATACACCACTGTACATGTTGTTTTGTACATGTTATATATTGAATTAAAATGTGCTTCTTTAAATCATTTCATCCTATTTTATTATGTTACCTCTGATGAATTTAGGAAAAATCTACGTGCTCAAATAGACAAAGTTAGTCTAATATTCACTTGTGTATTTTGAATGTTTCCTTTCTTTCCTCTAGCAAGATTAACCAGTTTGTTAATGGGTCAGTTCATTAATAACAATGTGTTTGGATGCTGATGACAATCTGTGTTCTCTTCTCCTTAGTACATGGGAACCTGGTATGAGATAGAGAAGCTCCCCGCTCTGTTTGAAAAAGGAAAATGTAACCAAGCCACATACAGTCTGCTGAGCGATGGGACCGTCAAAGTTCACAACGCAGAGCTGCTGTAAGGATGGAGTTAAAAGCTATATTTCAAACATTGTTTTTTAGCTAAAAGTTGCCTTTTGCATAGGATCAAGTTTGGGTGTAATGCATGTCTTTTACTCTCTCTATCTCCCTCTCTCCTCAGGTCTAACGGGAAGATGAATTCAATTGAGGGTGTGGCCAAAGTTAAAAACACAACCCAACCTGCTATTCTGGGTGTGAGCTTCTTCAAAGGTTAATATACTGAGGATATGTTTAGTTTTTAAAGGAGCCAGTTCGTGTGAATTACAGGGAAACAACTAAAAGTATAGCATGTCAAAACTAAAACCCAGAAATGAGTTAGCATTTGACGATCCGGTTCCCTCGACTGTTTTTGAATGTGTTTTTGTTTAGAAGCGAGATAGGTGGATTTTGTTCTGTGACATAAGAGAGGTCAGTAAATGCCTTACTGTTGAATTTTAAAATGGCGGTTGCTAACAAGTTTCTAAATGAAACTACTAAACGTCATCACATGTAAGTTTGATGTGTGTTTTGCACAGATTTTATTTTCTGCATCGGTATTTCAAAATGCAATAGTTGTTGTTTTTTGTCAATGGAGCCTTGTGGTACCAACTTCCAGGTTACAAAAATCCGTCATCACTGTCCCACTGTACAGGAAGTTACCTTACATAACCTTCATTCTGTCCATGTCTGTTCTTAGGAGTTCCAGACAGCCCCTACTGGGTGCTCTCCACCGACTACCAGTCGTATTCTCTGGTGTACTCCTGTACTGATCACTACGGAACGTTCCACATCGACTTCGCTTGGATCCTGGCTCGCACTCGGCTGTTGAATAAGGAAGTCGTCAGTCAGTTACATGATGAGTTGGTTTCTGCTGGGGTCAACATAAACAAACTTTTAGTCAGCGATCAGGCTGGATGTGAGCGAAGCAAAGGTAAGATCCATGAGGAAGGGGAACAAAGTGCTTCATTTATAGTGGCTATTGAGGATGCATTTTCTGCCTCTGCTGTATTAAAGTTTTAATAATAATATTCTAATATTGTGTTATGTTGTGGGTTCCACCTCTGTGGTTTGCATGTCCAATTTAAACATGAACAAAAGCTCAGAAATCTGGCTATAGGGCAATATTATTTATTATTCCAAAATTAGATTAATTTAAAAAATACATAATTACATCCTAGGTTAAACTGACAGATGTTTGCTTTTGAAGTTGTAAAGACTGAATGTTTTGAACAGCAAATATTTTTAAACAAATATATTTTATGTCATTGTCGAGGACAATCATTCTGTTCATAAAATGATGGTTTAACAGCTTAAGAGTTATAATTTGATTTGATTTCAAATATGAACAAAAAGAAATACAAGCAAATAATATATATGAATTGTCACCAGGAATAAATAAATGACAGAGAAACTTATTCAGTCTAATGCTTAAACTAAAAATGGTTTGCATTAAGACCATTGATCTTGTTCTTTTGCATTTCTCTAACATGTCTTCTCTTTTATTCTTCAGCCAAGATAAATGAAAGACCCATCATTGGTAAGTTATAAATGCCTTGTTTACGGCAATGTTACATTATGATAGGTTACATTTTGAGGAAAGCAGGTCCTATCCAGATTATCCATTTGATCCATTATTGTGAAAGAATAAAATGCATTGATAGTTATTTCTAAACGACTCCCACTTCCACGTTAGATTTATGTGTTGGCACTAGATCGTCTTAGAACTCTGTGATGGAGGTTGCCGATTGCTTAACAATGATTGTGTTTTTCCCTCAAAAGGAATACTGGCCCAAAAGAGTCGTTACCTTCCTCCAAATTCGGCAGGTTACATCGCCTCCTCCTATGTAAAGTTCCTGGAGTCGGGGGGAGCGAGGGTTGTCCCTATCATGTAAGTATTTCACATTTATTTGTACATATTTATCCTCATAGAGCTTATGCAACTCCAATATCTTTGAAGAGAAACATTTGACCTCCTGTTTTTATTTCTACAGGGTTAACCGGGAAGCAGAGGAGTATAAAAGACTGTTCAACTCAATTAATGGGTATAGTAATAGCAATATGATTATAACACATTTGGATTTGTTTGGGCTTTTCCCCATTCATTTATATATAAATGTTTATTCCTCTTTGAAAACTTTTATAAAAAATTCAAAATGACTCAGCTTATTAACCTTAACAATGTTTCCCATATATTTCCGTACATGACTCCTCTGTCGACAGGATCCTTCTCCCCGGTGGATCTGCGAACATTACGTCCTCTGGTTATCAAAGAGCTTCAAAAATCTTTTATGAACTTGCTATTGAGGTAAAAAAAAAATAACACAAATATTAGTACCTAAGTTTAAGTGCGTAGATGTGTGATTATGCTGCACACACTTTGTGGTTTTCCAGGCAAACAAGAGAGGCGACTACTTTCCGGTGTGGGGGACCTGTCTCGGATATGAGCAGCTGACCGTTTTGACGAGTGGAGAGAATCTACTGACACGTACCAATACGAGTGGCGTGGCATTACCCCTGCTCTTTACTAAAGGTACGGCGACTACAGTACATTATTAATGTTGTTCAACTTTCAGTGCCAGTAATTCAGTCTAGCCTCAGCTTTTTATTTCATTTAACCTTTTCTGCCATTCTTTAGTTTAACCTCTTTAAACATTTGGTGAAAATACATATGTATATAAGGTGGAACATTTCTGTATGTCAAAATGAATTAAGAAAGTCATACTATATTATGGCGAAATAAATACAAAATACTTTGATGAAAATATTTGAATTCAAAACACAGTATATGGAAACAATTGTGTAAAAATAATATAAATGGATTTCTAAAAACATGACAAAGTTAGAAGTATAATATGTCAAAAAAATATGGTAAAAGTTATGACGTCTCAAAAAGTCATAGTATATTATGTTATTCAATATCATGAATTTCGAAAAAACATGACGAAATGAATCGTTTGATGTGTAGAAAAATATGGAAAACAGTTCTAGTATAGCCTGTCTCTAATATCATGAATTTGAGATATAGTATATGCAGTATGTCTATTTTTTGGAAAACCATTTGATACAAATATTTATATCTATCTATATATGAATATCTCATTTTCTTATACCCATTTCTAGAAGCAAAGCAGAGCCGGATGTTTAAAAGCTTTCCGGCTGAACTCATGGAAGCTCTGGCGTCCGAGCCACTGACGGAAAACTCTCACAAATGGAGTGTGTCAGTGTTGGTACGCCATTTATTACACTTATAATGAGAAGAAATGTTTAATGAGTGCAATACAAGGGCTAAAGAACATCTGTATTGCTGTGTTTTGGTCAAATATGAGCCTTCTTGACTCCTTTGAGTCACTTTTCTAACATTATAGAAAGCAGAAAGAGAAAGCAGGCATTCATTTGATTGGGTACGTTGTGACTAACCTATATGTTTCTTTCAGTCTCAAAACACAAATAAGGATCTGAAAAACTTTTACAAAGTTCTCTCTACAAATACGGATGGAGAAATAGAGTTTGTGTCAACAGTGGAAGGTAGTAATAATGCAGCATCACTGTATTGGTGCAGGTTTACTGCAAAAGGGTACTTTTGTATTTAATACTTCCTCTAATCCCTTACCTCTCGGCAGCATACGATTACCCGATCTATGGGACACAGTGGCACCCGGAGAAGAATGCATTTGAATGGAGGAAGCCTTATATTTCCCATTCTCCATCAGCAGTGATGAGCACATTCTACATGGCTCAATTCTTTGTCAATGAAGGTATGAACATTAGGGTTTTTTTTTATTACATCATCTTGATTCTGTACTCTGATTTTGTTTTCTCTACTTACAGCAAGAAATAACTTTCACACATTTGAATCCGAGGAGGAAGAGAGGAGTGCGCTGATTTATAATTACAATCCGGTTCACTCTGCGCCCAAAAGTGGCTTTGAGCAGAAGTACATTTTCTGATGTTTGTGTGCGTGGTGCTTTTCCTTTGTGTTATCTGTGTGGATCATTGAATTGATTGATTTTGCATTTGCTGCTCATTCCATTGAATTGAGTGTGCTTCAAATATTTTTGTAACAAAAATTGTCACAAACAAATGTCATTGTATAGTATGTCACAAAAAGTCATAAAACGTAACAGTGTGTTCACATTTATGAAAAGATTCACAGTTGAATAAGTCAATAAATATTAAAAAGTTCAAATATAGTAGATTGAAATCTATGAAAACAAGTAATTGTAAAAAACAAAAACATGACTCATAACATATTTTTTGAAAATATTCATTTGAAGAACATGAAAAAAGTTGTAGTAGTAAGAGTAAAAAAAAGTCAAATGTGTAAAATTTAAAAATCATATAGTATGTTGAGAAAATAAAAAAGTCATAGTATTGTTTTGTAAAATATGAAAAAAGTTATAGTAAAGTGTGTAAAATAAATATCATGTATTAAAGGAAATATATATTTAGTGAAAAATACGATAAAGTCAGTATAATAAAGTCATACTATAGAAAATAAAATAACGGTATTGCAGGTAGAAAAACCTGAAAGTATGTCAAATATATCATGAAAAGATTTCTTCATAGTACAGTGTGGAAAAAATGGTTGTATACTAAGATGAAAATTAAAAAATTGTTAAAGTATTGAAAAATATGAAAAAAAACTCTGTAGAGTATGTTATGAAATATATTATAAGGGGAGGGAGGGGATAGAGTTCAGCCTCATGACAGCTTGGTGGAAAAAACTGTTTATATAAAAAATTATATAAACAGTATAAAAATGATAGGTTATATGAATAAATAAAAAGAATGAAATAACTATATTGCACACATTTCTCCAACACAGCACACAGATAAAACAATATGTATAATCAAAATAACTACACAAATTAAATAACAATATCACAAAATAAACATGAATATAAAAGTAGGAAACATACATTAATAAATTAAAATACATATAAGCTATAGAATGAAAAGACTAAATTGCACAGATCTTTCAACACACAAACCGAACAGAACACACGTTAAAAAAAATAGGAAAATTATTTTGAGAATACAAATAAAATATATATTTTTATATTTGTGTTTACAATATTGTCCGAATAGAGAATCTACCTACACCTGAATAATGCTTATTGTACTTTTATCCATCCAGCACAGGCACAATCTGGCAGCGGGGTGCACTGATGCTGATAGTGGATCAATAAGTAGGTGGACAGCGCGTGGTGCTGAAATAGCCAACATGCGGTGTGTGGTTTGAAAAAAAATAACACCAGCTCATTAAATCATTCAAACGTAATGTTTACTTAGGATATCAAAACCTTGACAACAAAATCGGAGAAGCCGCTTGATCATTGCCCCAGTTGGCAGCTTTGTTTTGAAAGAAAAGTTTTGGCTCATCGGACATTTATGAGAGAAAATCCCTAATGTCCGAGTGCAAGGGAATGCAGCACAAGACGCGAGCCTTGTAACCCCTCCCCCGGCCCTGGCGCGAGCATGGAAAAGTGATTGACGGCGATTTCATTTGAACGGGACGGCGCAAAACGAGAAATAATTTAAAATATAAGTCTGTTAAAATACAGATAATAGCCCTGGCTTTTAACATGGGACTGAAATGGGGCTAAAGAGGACGATCCTCCCTTTGGGCAGGTCTAGCCAGAGGCTCTGGCCTTTGATTATGTTCTGGCCCGCCATCTAGTGGCTCAGAAAAAGATTGTCTCAAGGCCAAACTTACTGCTGTAGAACATAACACAACTTCCTACACTAATTCTTTCTTGGCATAACATATCTCACAAAAGATGGGCTACAACATATCACTACTGTAGGCCTATATTACAGACATCTTTTAATTTAATTAATTGAAAATGACACAAAGGACTTGTCAGTACAATTACCTTTGAGGTGTTTGATAAATGAAGGTGACTAAATCAATAACGTTAAAGTGGTTGTTTATAACGTTTGTATTGCAGGGCTACAAATGATTCTTCTGAAGTAAGACTGTTTGAAATGATTCCAATGTTAGTTGCTGAACTGACGACGAAACACAGGCAGCTAACAAGCAGCAACAGAGTTAAGGTTACCGGCATCATTTAATAACATGCTTAATAAAGCCCAACTAAATAAATGAGATGTTACAGGTGCATACATACCTTTTATCTTTTGAGCGTTTCTCTTCTTCTTCTTTCCTTTTCTTTCTAAACTGGGCACCTGATGCCTTGTGCCTTTTTTTCTCCATCACCGTAGGTATATATGTGTATGTATATATATTATACATATGCACACATTAAGACATAAATAAAAGCATAACAATCAAGATATACAACAGTCACTTCAATATCTTTGAGAAATGTACATTAGTGCAAGACTGTCCATAGCAGCGTAAAAAGTGTCTGGTGCTGGATTTGGGTGTCTGAGTGTGTGTGGGGTATTTAAAGTCCAGGTCAAGTGAGGGGGAGGGGAGAGGGGAGAGGGAGGGGGAGAGGGAGAGGGAGAGGGAGGGGGGAGAGGGAGAGGGAGGGGAGAGAGTTCAGCCTCCTGACAGCCTGGTGGAAAAAACTGTTCTTTAGTCGGGTGGTGCTGGACCTCAGGCTGCAGAACCTTCTACCTGAAGGCAGGAGAGTGGAGGAAGAAGCCGTGTCCTCCACAGTCAAAAGAAAACAACTCAAGGACAGAGAAGACATGAAGGCTGTGCTCTTTATCAGTTACTGTGTTATGCAACACGAACATGAACCTTACACTGCGTAAACACGCGTAAACACGCCCTGCACACAGGCGCGTTATGAACTCTAAAGTTAGCACCATTCTCAACTTGGCTCAGATGTTCGCCTGACAGACTGCCTACAGTGGATATTCACCAGGAGTATGTCTATGGAGTGTTTTGTGTTTTTTGGGGTCTTGACCTTCCTGTTGACGACAAACAGAGCAGGTGAGTGAGGCGTTTAGGCACTTCCCGAACAATCCAAATCACACATATGATTAAGATTGGGTTTGTCTTGTCAAAGAAAAAGAAAAAACATGAGACCGTATTAATTATGATCAAATCTAGAAGCATTGTCCAACTAAAATCACACAAACATTATCGCACGTTCTTTCCCCCAGTGGCATTCAGATAGTTCCAATGTTATCTGTCAAAGTCTAAAAATAAGTTGCAGTAAGTGCTGTTGGGTTTCACTGGTCACCAAGCCAATCATTTGCTTTAGTTTTTATGAACGATATGCTGACCTATCATACTCTGATCTTTAGACTTGTGGTGTGAATGATGGTGTTTTTCTATTTGATTAAAGGTTTTAAAAAGAAAAACAACGCTTACAATCAAAATGTAAGGAAGTGAAACCATTCTTCAACCATCTTAACTGGAATCTTGTCCAACCAGATGGAACACAATCCTACACACACACACACACATACCTACACAGCTATGCACGCACACACCTACACACACACACTGAATGCTTTCAGTTTGAATTTCCTTTTATTTTTCTAACTTTTTAATATTTTGTTTCTTTTAATACATTTTCTTATCAAAACCGCATTAATACGTTTTACAGTGTTTCAAGTAAAATGTAAAAACAACACGCAAATAGGGTTGTGTATTGCTCGCAGATAAGACACAGTTATACATATAAGTTAAAAGCAAGGACTCATCAATCTCAAATGTCCTCATCTTTGCTATAGAGATAAGTGCTTTTAATTTATATGCTTAAAAAAGCGAATATTGAGGCTTTAAAAAGGCCTACTTTTCCCTGAACTGGACCTTGATAGATGTTTCTGCCCTGGATGTTTTTACAGATGCTTTGGACTGTGTTTTGGAGCAGAGCTGCGTCTTACCGTGCCATTTCCAGCATGGTGCCGAAGTGATCGTCCACTGGATTCAGTTAGCTGACTCTCCAGCCCACTCCTACTACCACGGCAACGACCAGCTCAGACACCAGAAGCCTCGTTTCAGCAACAGAACCTCGCTGTTCAAGAACAAGATCTCTAGAGGAAATGCCTCGCTCCTACTCTCAGGGGTGAAGGTTGAGGATGAAGGCAGATATAAGTGTTACACCAGCACCGTCGATCACAATAAAGAGATCTTCATCGAGCTAAAAGTATACGGTATGAGAAAAAACACATATTTAGATGTTAACATAAAACATAAAATGATCAATACAGAACTGCATAGAATTGGAGAAACATAACAGAAATGTTTCCTATTAATGTTTGTGAGTCAAATCAAATCAGATTGCATGTGGTTGGTAATTTTTATATTTTTTAGATTATAGTGTATGACCCTTAATGAGGAACTAAATACATGTTTTTAGGTACAGTTATAATATATCATTTATGGGGGCATTTTTTCAGCAGAATGAGTACTGTTACTTAAAGTTAGTCTAGGTCAGAGATAGGAGCACAATACAAACACAGCGCACTCGAGCATAAAAGCTCAAGTTATACTGTGAAGGACACTTTGTCTTCAGTTCAGTCATTTGAGTTTGACAGAAACTGCTGAGCAGAGAACACACTTTTAAATCAGCATGTACACCTATACATATATATAGATAAACATACAAGGCTTAACATGCTTTACAGAGTAAATGCAGGCTGTGTGTGGTACAGTTAGTTTTTCCTCATGCTCTCAGCTACAGCATACAAACACCTGGCTGATTGAGTTTCACTCCCACAAGAACAGATTCATTCAAGGTTGTGAGAATAAGGTCATCCAGCAGATAATGAAAATCAAACTAGTGCAACAGTTTTGTAAGAAAAGCACAGCGCTGATATGCACAATGAAAGCAAAATAAAGGGACATTTGAGAGAGAGAAAGTTTTTCAAATAGTTATCAAATCTTGGTAGTTTACCCCCATGTATCCACCCAAGGGTGTAACTTTGGTTTGAGAAGTGGGGGGGACACAAAACAGGGGGTCCTCCGCAATGAAATATTTTCTCAATTTAATTCCATTTCCTGCCTTTCTACAAATATATTAGGGACTATAGTGTTAACAAATCCAAGAAAAATGTGTAGTGTATATAATGAGTGTGCACACTTATCTAGTATCCTATCCATGTGAACCTGTTTTATTTGTGATTACCTGACATCCTCTAGGGGGGTCCGGGGGCATGCACCCCGGGAAGATTTGTTTCTTTAAATTGAAGTTGAATGCATCAATCTGGTGCACTTTGAGGGCAACATTAAGAGATTTATGGATACAGTTCTCAACACTCATATGAAACAGAACTGTATATATTTCAATAATCAAAAAGCCATTAGAATATGCTCACAACCAATAACAAATCATTGATAAACTCCTCTCTCCTATCTTTATCTTACCTAGTCTGCATTTTTTCTTTTTATTTATGCATATTTGACTAATCACTCCCCTTTCAAACTGTGTTTTTTATTTTTGTACTGACCTATAGTACACATTGGAAGGATTTCTTAACTTATTTTATATACAACTATATATTACATAGATGGAAATATTTGTTTACATAGATGACCAAATCGTTTGAGACCCACTGAGATAACTAGACTAAGTTTACAACCTAATCACTCGGAGAGTCCTTTACCTCCCTGAGCTGACGTTATCTCTCTCAGTCCGACAGGAGAGGACTCTCCCTCTCCTTATTGTTGAAACAGCTTCTAATCTCCGTTAGCTCCGAGCTAGCACCAGATGCTAACAACAACCCACGTAACTCTCTCAGTCTCTCTCTCTCTCTCTCTGTCTCTGTCTCTCTCTCTCTGCCTCTCTCTCTCTGCCTCTCTCTCTCTCTATTTCTCTCTCTCTCTCTATTTCTCTCTCTCTCTCAGTCTCTCAAAGTCCGACAGGAAAGAGCTCTCCCTCTCCTTATTGTTGAAACAGCTACTAATCTCCATTAGCTCCGAGCTAGCACCAAATGCTAACAACAACCCCCGTAACTCTCTATGTCTCTCTCTCTCTGTCTTTCTATCTCTCTCTCACAAGATGCGCTCGTGCCACACACACACACAGACGCTCCTCCGTGACGATGACCGCTTGCGTAAAAAAAAAAGAAAAAAAAAAAAAAATTAAAAAGTGGGGGGGACACAAATGGGATTTTGAAAAGTGGGGGGGACATGTCCCCCCTGTCCCCAGTGGAAATTACGCCCATGTATCCACCACACTAGTTTATCTTATCCTAAATGAATGCATGTGCAAATAACCGTAATAAACATTTTTTTTTAAATATATATCTGTATATTATAGTGTTTTAAAAAGAAAATGTCATGGTGCAATGCATTTCAGATTCGTTTTGAAGAAAGTTGGTTATTGGCATGGGCAGTAACACCTCAGGCTTTTTGAATGACTTTTTATAAACCATAAAACTGCTCTTTGTACCCAGTATAAGGCAATACAAATATCTGTGTGTGATCTGTATTGATCGGTCGTCTTGTTAATAGAGGCTCAAGGGTGAATACTAGATAAAGGCACTTGGTTAATATAGCTATTTAATTCCCTCAAATGAATTTGTTAAATATTGTAAGGAATGATATATAGTTTTGCTTTAAAAGCTTGTTGATAGTACAAATTACAGTTGATCATAAAAGCCTAGCATCAACTTTCGTAATAAGAGATAAAAATGGAAGGAGTGGTTTTATATTGAAGTCGTTTGACTTGCAGGAATATCACAGCAACATTCAGTTAACATTAAAGATAATCAGGTTTCCTACAACACCAATTATTTTCCAGCTCCGGTCCGTAAAGTGGAACTTCATCAGGACGGAAATACGATCACCTGCAGCTCAGAGGGGATCTACCCTAAGCCGGAGATCAGCTGGTCCACGGACCCCCCGTCCAACCAGAACCTGTCGGAAAAAATCAAAGTGCAGCAGGTTGGACAGCTTTATAACATCAACAGTTCTCTTACCTCAGTTCCTGATGTGGAGTTCAAGTGCACCGTCAGCACGGGCAGAAACAAGATGACAGCCACTTTGTTTAAACTAAGTAAGTGTTGCTAAAGAGACTACATTGGGAAAACAAAGTGAGATAAGAATACAACATTTTTTATTAACATTATAATGTTGTCTTCTTTTCAGCTTCTCTTACTGGTTCCAGCAAAGAAACAACAATGCACTGCACCTCTTCAAAGAGTCCTCCAACAGGCCTCACCTGGAGGTTCAACCACAGTCAGATCATCGTGAGTGATGAGTCAGTGATGGAGGAGTGGAGGCAGCAGGTGAAGAGTGCGCCTATGTCCGGAGACCTCACACTGAAGGATTTATCGACAGATCACGATGGGATCTACACCTGTGAGCTCCGTAATGCTGAGGGGACATACGTGACCAACACCTTCCTGAGAATAGAGCAGAGTGAAGGTAAGGATGCACGAGGTGTATTTGCTACACATCACATATACAGTAAGTTTAAATATTAGGTGTTGTTTGGAGACTATATCCAAAACAATTAAATTACTCACTGTGTTGAGTCATGAAATCATGAACCATCAATCCCAGAAAGAGTTAACGCTCCTGCTCCACCTGCAAAAACAATGAAATATAGAAAAGATCAATAAAAGAAGGTATTATGGTGAGGGAAGTTAAGAAAAATGCTGTTTCAACAATTGCATTTAATAATTTCAACATTTGCATTTAAGATAATTCAATTGCTTCCTGGTAAGACATGGTTTGTCATTGATGCAGTTTTAAATAATTGTATTTAGTTTAAGTTTCTACATTTGAATAACTGTAGGTGGTGCTTTATTATTATACTTGGTGATTGTTAAAAATGATTTTTAAATACATTTGAAAACACATCAATCTGCCTTTTTGCAATCCATACAATTTGACATGAGGCATTGCACTTTGATAAAAATGTAAGAATTGTTTTTGTATTCAGTTTCAGCTCTGACCAGTGGAGGGATTGCATGCATAGTTGTTGGAGTTGTTGCCGCTTTAGCTGTTTTGGCTGCAATCCTGGTGGTTCTCTACAAAAAATATGGGGTAAATAATAGTTCTGCCTCCACAAATGTACCTTTTGTGTTTGTGTAGTTTGTTCTAATTGTGATTTATTTTGGATTAAGAGAGAGAGAGAAAAAAGGGAAATGATGGAGTAACATGGTCAAGTGGCGTTGAAATCTATTTTAAATTCAATAGTTCCATTGTTTGCTTATCTTATCTGCTATTTGTTTTATTTATTTTGGATTCAGGCAGAAGCTAAAGTATTGGAAAGGACCGTGAAAGGACCTGCACTTAAAGTAAGTAACTGTATATTCTGTATTATATAAATGTAAAAAATAAACTGCAGCACTTCTGCACTCTCTGAATAAGAATAGAGCTGTCATTGACTTATAGCCAAATCTACTGCAGTCAAGTATATTTATATCTGTTGTAGCTGCTATAGTCTCTCTTGTAATCTGCATTTAAGTTAAACAATTTGGAAAAAGTATAAAAAGGTCAATAAAAACACTAGTTCAGCTTTCAATTATTAACCTATTGCATGTGGGAGTGTAGTTTGTTTTAATTCGATTTTATTTTCGAGTACCATGGTCAAGTGGCGTTGAAATCTATTTTAAATTCAATAGTTCCATTGTTTGCTTATCTTATCTGCTCTTTTGTTTTATTTATCTTAGATGCAGGCAGAAGATAAAGTCATTGAAAAGACCGTGGACGATGTAGACGAAAATTCCACCCTTGAAGTAAGTAACTGTATATTCTGTATTATATAAATATAAAATAAACTGCAGCACTTCTGCACTGAAGAAGAAGAATAGAGCTGTCATTGACTTATAGCCAAATCTACTGCGGTCAAGTATATTTATATCTGTTATAGCTGCTATAGTCTCTCTTGTAATCTGCATTTAAAGTTAAACAATTTGGAAAAAGTGTAAAAAGGTCAATAAAAACACGAGTTCAGCTTTCAATTAATAACCTATTGCGTGTGGGAGTGTAGTTTGTTTTAATTCGATTTTATTTTTGGATTTAGTCAAAAACAGATAATGAAAGTAACAGTGGACTAACAGAAAAGGAACAACCCCTGAAAGTAAGTCAACTGTTTATTCTGTATTCTATAAATATAAATAAAAATACCAACAGCAATGCTCCTGTCTTTAACTTACAGTAAATCTACTGTGGTCAAGTCTTTTAATTGTTTAATTATTTTGCAGTAAATAATTGTATTACTAAATAATCAATTAAAAGCTTTTTTCTTAATTCAAATCTAGCTTGAAATTCACTGTTTGTTTGTAAACCAGAATGATATATCTGTGTTTCCACACATTAAGCATTATATGAAATTAAATGATAGTGACTCAATCTAATGGACCTTGTGTTTTCTGTGATAGTGTTTGCCCCCTGCACAAGTTATGTATAATAAAAGAATAAATGGGAGCTTGATGTGTTTTCAGGACTGAATTATGTTCCATTTTGTTTGCAGGGAACATCAAGTCAAGTGATATAAAATAAATACTTGGAAAAGAAAGCAGCACTACAAACCACAGCTCTGGTGAAAATGAAGAAACTGTAGCTCACCCTGAAGAGAGTGACTGAACAACATGTTTGCACTTTATAAGTTACACATAAACAGAGCTGGAGAAAACTACACTGCGAATTGAAGGATTTAAGAGCACTTCGATGGACTAAGATGTCTTCCAATAACTACGACCTTTGGATCTTTGATTTGGAGCCAACATCTTTATCGAGACTGACAAACGAGGACAATGTGACTGAGACTCTGCTACACTTTCCCTGAGCTGCAGCTATTAGTTTGTGAGACTTTGGCTTTTAAAGACATGCATGCTGCCTCTATCTCACGTCCATGCTTGAACAAAACGGTTATGAAGAAGTCATCTGTTTATAAAAACAAGCACAAAAACAGAACTACGATGTTTTTTATCATCTCAAAATAATTGCTGGGTTTACTAAGTTTTAATACATTGTGTTTTCATTGCTGTTTTAAAGAATATGTGTAATACTGAGAACTGTTTGTGTGTGTCCATGGGGATTATTAATGACTCTGTCAAATGCTTTGTGTTGTAAAGATTTGTTTTATAAAAAAATATTTATTGTAATCTGGGGGAATATCTGTCTTTTATTTAACTTACAAAATGTTTAAGGTTGATGGCAGTGAATTTTTTTGTTCATTGGAGTTTAAAAAGATAATATTGTTTAGTATCACCACCTGTTACCGCCCATTACAGGAAGAACGGGTTTATTTCCAATAAATGGATCTGTTTCATTTTACTCGTCATCATAAGGTGAGTCAGTGAGTCACCGCTCTCAGGGTGGAAATGTGTCGGTCCATTCATGGTCAGCACAATCTGGTTTTTCTTCATAACGAAACAAATGAAAGCAGAAATATCTATTCCATATCTCTCCTAAAAAATATTGTTCAATAGTTTGTTTATCTCAAAATAACTGCTAAACTGATCACACTCCCATTAGCCTAAACCAAACTTGAGAACAAATATTGAAAATATTAACAGTAGTCATAAATATAATTGTGTAATGACTCTTTTCACAAAGATATAAAGAATGTAAACAGTAGATGAAAAATACAAATCAGTCGCCAAATAGCTCCAAGGCTGTTGCAATGCTAATGTATGGACGGCAACAAAGGGGACATTTTTTGGGGCAGTAACAAGGGTACATAAATGCACATAAAGAGTCTAGGTGGAAAGCTTACTTCTGCCTCTGTCAACGGTAGAGAGACTTTTTTCCCTCAGAGTCGTTTCTGATGCTCAGGTGACTAGTTGTACATTTACAATCCTTTAGTTTCAGATCTGGATAAGAACCAACTATTGTAACACTCTGCTATCAGCTGGCAAAACCAAAATGTACAACAGAGTGAGACTCACAGAAGAGTAAACAACTCCACACCTTGCTGCTTTTCCCTCGATACCTGTGAGTTTTAGAAATGATATTAACAGATTACTGCCTTTTAAAGCCTCTATTTATTTGGAATCTACCAACTGTGAGCCTGATCGCTGCTTGACATCCTCTTATTCTGCCTCCTTAACTTGTCCATCATTGAGTATTGAGTGACCGCACCCTTCATGAAAAACTTTAAAGGTCTTAAGGTAAGTTATTATCTCATGGCTTTTCTTCACAGTAGGCGTTTGCTTTTAATGTTTTAATCAACTAAATGTTTCGCTTGTTTTACTTTTTATCCTCAGTGGAATAAAAGCTGCCTACATTTTTTCATAAGACCAGTCAGGCCAGTTTCACGGTCTTAATCGGAGCGTCATTTAGATCTGAAATAATTGTCGTTGCAGGACAATATACACTTTCCTCTGAGGGAGTTTAACATGAGTGGACGAGGATGAAATGTGTCGTGTTTCTGGGGGTTCTGACCTTTCTGCAGAGTCTTGCAAGAGGAGGTGAGTGAAGTGTTTACTGCTTGTCTTATTCCAGTCTGAAACACAAATAAAAGGCATGTTTGAACTCTGTTGAATACATTGTCATGTTACCTTCGGCAAAGGAGTTTATGATGACCAAAAGTCCTTAAAGACATGAACTTGTCTTTGCGCACCATAATTAAATTGTTGAATAAATTATCTATTTATGCTGCTAACTTTAGGCTATTGCTGCATGAACTAAACATTTCAGTATTAACATTCAGTGTGATCATCTGTGTATCTGCTGCTGTACACTGACTGGTCAAATGTAAATTAATTAAACTAAATTAAAACATGAGGAAGATGGAATACCAGAAAATGAATCGAAGTTAATTTCGAGTTAAAACAGTCAAATAAAACTCTGCAAATAAACATGGTATCTAGTCATTCAGATAGTTTGGTTATATTAGTCAGATACATTTCAACATATCCTCTGGAGAAGCAGTGTGCAATTCAGACATAAAAAGCACAGTCATGATTTAGTTTTACTCAATCAAATAACTCTACACACACACCCACGAGCTTAGCACATTCCTGGGTTAAACAATGTGCAGCAAGTAGAGCCTGTATTTCAACCTGCAGCATGCCTATCATTCGTGTGTGTGTGTGTGTGTGTGTGTGTGTGTGTGTGTGTGTGTGTGTGTGTGTGTGTGTGTGTGTGTGTGTGTGTGTGTGTGTGTGTGTGTGTGTGTGTGTGTGTGTGTGTGTGTGTGTGTGTGTGTGTGTGCACGTGCGTGTGTGTGCGTGTGTGACAAATGATTACTACTAATAAAGGAATATAATTATAAATGCATTAATATCTTGTGAAACGGCTTTTACTTTCATCTTCTATCTTTGCTAAAAGCTTCTTTTATTTAGTATTCTTAGCAATGTCACTTTTATGTTGTTTTAATGCAGGTCACCTTCGAGCAGTGCTTCTCAAAGTGTGGTCCGCGGACCACTGGTGGTCCGTGAGTGCCCCCTAGTGGTCCGTGAGTATATTGGTAAAATTTCACATTTGAAATAAATAAATACATTTAAGTTTTCCGCACTCTCGCGGGAATATCTCCGCAATGGGGCGAGCTTAAGTTTCACTGTCGATTGCATGATATAGCCCAGCGCAACACCTTCATCACACAGAAAAACGATGTGATTTGAATATTTGTGGAGTTAGGTGGTCCGCGAGTGTTTTTTTATTGGTTAAGTGGTCCTTGGTATGAAAAAGTTTGAGAAACACTGCCTTAGAGGTTCCCTACAGGTCTGACAAAATGTTTCTACAGGCAATATTCAGTTATGTTAGTGAATCTAACTAAACAAAAACATGAATAATACGATGACATTTTGGCTGAACTAACATTTGATGCATGTCTCTTCACCAGTTGTTGCAGAGGATGAGGTATCCTGTGTTTTCAATGAGAGTATATATATGTATATATTTATATATAAATATATGTGTGTGTATATGTCCGCATCTGTAGCCTGTTATTGTCTCATTATACCGCACTGTCAATGAATTAAAAGTAAATATATAAGTCATCATGAACACATCTGTCCATCAGACAAGCCTCATCTCAATACCCCTCCTCGACTCCTCTCTTCCCCTCCTCCGGGACTTGACCATGGATGTATAATAAGAACTGGATACAGCGTGGGAGGCGGGGCCTCATTCATTCCTATGAGAGTTGCTCATTCGCGCATGATGATAAAATGGCCCAACTTTTGAGAGAGCGAAACGTCACAGATTACCCGGCATGCCTGAGAAGTACCCGTATGTGCGCTCATAGCGCATGCGCAACTTTAACCATGCCCCCCAAAATGCTCGTTCACATCAAGCACGTCAATTTGCGTACACGTAACAGCACCGCACGTTCATGACAGCATGGTAATGTTTGTTATGATAGATTTGATATTAACGAGGCGGCAGTTAGCAGCTAGCGGTTAGCTAGTAATTATGCTAATTTACACATCAATCGTTATGTACTTTTATATTACGCTGTAACAGGATCTAGTGATATCCAAGCAACAGAGCTTCATTTAGCATGAAAGAATTATTGCACTGTATATATATATATATATATATATATATATATATATACACACAGTGCAATAAGCTTCTTAGTGCAATAAGAAGCTACAGGGACGTTAATCTACGTCGGTAATATTAACTTTATTTAATACAACATTTACGGTACAAGATTTAATCATACAGCCCATGTAGTATAATATGTTATAAATGATGAATTACAGCAAACATGTGCAATATATCCATTATTACAGCTCCGTGGGCTGGCAGTAAGGCGATATGGGTCCGTTCTTATTGTGCATCCATGGGTAAAGATAAACGCATGTAGTGCTGAACACGTAACATGAACGTGCCGGGCGGCGCGGTCCCGTGGGTTAGATGCGCGTTCATAATGCAGAGGGAAATAACTCTCAGAATAACGTTATTAGCACATTTTACAACTTGAGGAACGAATGTTTTTAATAAGGGCTATACAAGTGTTCATACTGGGTAGTTTATTTAGTTTAAAAAAAATTATCCAACGATTTACAGACCACTCTTTCCCCATGTAAGTCAATGGGAAAAAGTGTTTCCGGGCCTGGCAACCAAAAGGAAGTGTAGTACCGCCGTTTGGCCAGCACGAATATTTTCATCAGAGTCCGGCGCACTTCCTGGGGGCTTGGACTTGACCCGGAAATCGATCAAGACACGCCATTTTGAAGGACGTCCCAATAGCTGAAATGCACACGGAGGAGTCGAGGAGGGGTGAGGGAGGAGGGGTGACGAAAGGGAGGATACACGAGAGCAGACTACGCGGAAGTGTTTTCACTACTCGCGTATAAAAGCCCCGCCCCCACCTTCACAGCTGGTCGATTTCAACAGAGGAAAACGGAGAACTGGAAGAATGAGTGGAAAAGCGTCACATAAATGTCTATGTGCTCACAGCTCCGTGGGAATTATTATGTGCAATTCATTTCTTAAAGGTAGGGTAGGTAAGTTTGAGAAACCGGCTCGAGATACACTTTTTGTTATATTCCATGGAATGCTCTTAACATCCCGATAGCAATGAATATCTTAAGTGCTTTGACAAAAAATCCATAATAAAATGTCATACTGTAAAAAGCACGACCAATCATTTTAGCCGGCCCCTAAAATAACTGGATGGCCTACCTGCCTGTCAGCCTTCCATCTGTGCACAGACTTATCTCGTGCCCTCATTGGTCATGTGCGCGTTCGTGTGTGTTGGAGGAGGGGCTCTATAAGGAAGTGGCAGATTTTCTCCGGTTGTGTATTTTCAAATTCTAGCGATCTCGAGCCGGGTTGCGGTCGAATAGTCCATTTAGCTTAGGAACCTTCCTAACGGAGTGAAATGACCCGGAAGTCCCTCAGTGGCAGCCATGATAAGTGCCGTTCGAATTCTCTAAATGAAAGGAAAGGAGGTTTCAAACTTCCTTTATAACCTCCTTTAGCTTAGGAACCACTGGACCTCCCTAACCGAAAGGAGAGGAGAAAATGCTGCCCCACAATGCCTTGCTGCATTTGCCGTCACACAACAGTCGGCCATTCACGGAAACAATCGATTATGAACGAGAAATGAGAGAAGGGTCTAGCTGCGGCCGCGGCCAGTACACGACACTACACGACACGCCCACTACACGACACGCCCACCTGACACGACACTACGGTGGCTGAG